GCGCGGGCAACAGCGCCCTCGCCTCGCTTCAGCCGGTGCTGCAGGTGCGGTGCGGTCGCTGAAGGCCGGGCCGGGGAGGGTGGTGCTTGGAGTCTGGGAGGCGCCCACCTCAGCTCTGGTTCGGAGGGACCCTGCTCGGAGCTTCGCGGAGGGGGCGGGACCTCGGAGGAGGGCGGGGCTAACGCAGATTTCAAACTTGGGAGAGCTAAGGCTGGGTTTGGGAATTTATTTTATTTTAATTTTTTATTTTCATTGATTTGAGAGAGGAAGGGAGAGGGAGAGAGAGATAGAGACATCAACGATGAGAGAGAATCATTGATCGGCTGCCTTCTGTATGCCCCACACTGGGAATGGAGCCCGCAACCCAGGCATGCGCCCTGACCGGAATCCAACCATGACCTCCTGGTTCAGAGGTTGGCACTCAACCACTGAGCCACGCTAGCCCAGCTGGTGTTGGGGGTTTTGAAACCAGAGGAACTGAGGGTAGCGGCTGGTACCCTCCTTAAGTTCTGAAACTTTGGTCTCTCCCTTCAGGTCGAGGAGCAAAATCTGCACTTTATCTCTAAGGTGAGGAGCTGGTGGGGCCCTGTGTCTCCTCTTCCCTCAGTGCAAATCTCTCTCCCTGTTCCCCCTTCAATCCGCTCACTCCATCGCCCCTCCTTCACTCTCATCTATTCCCGTCTCTGCCCTCAGATTCAGCTTTTCTCGGGCCCTGACTTCCTGGGAGACCACATCTCCTTCGAGGATGACCAGGCCTCTCTGCCCGCCTCTTTCCAGCCCCAGTCCTGCCGAGTCCACGGTGGCAGGTGAGGATGTAGGAGAGGGTGAGGGAGGAGGCTTGGAGGTGCTGGGGGTGAGTGCGGAGACAGAGACAGGAATGCTGCTCTGAAGCGTTTCACTCGGTTTGGAAATCCAGGCTGCAGGAAGAGGGCCTTTATTTCAAACTAGAGGCCTGGTGCACAAATTTGTGCACCAGTGGGGTCCCTCAGCCTGGCCTGCAGGATTGGGCCCAAACCAGCTATCCGACATCCCCCAAGGGGTCCCGGATTGTGAGAGGTCACAGGTCAGGCTGAGGGACCCCACCAGTGCAGTATTGGGGCCGGGGAGAGATGTGGGAGGTTGGCCAGCTGGGGAGGGACGTGGGAGGGCTCCAGGGCATGTCTGGCCCGTCTTGCTCAGTCCTGATTAGCCAGACCCCAGCAGCAAGCTAACCTACCAGTTGGAGCATCTGCCCCCTGGTGGTCAGTGCACATCATAGCAAGTGGTTGAATGGCCTTAGTATATCATTAGCATATTATGCTTTGATTGGTTGAACGGACAACTGGACACTTAGCATATTAGGCTTTTATTATATAGGATGATGTCCTTACTCTGTCTTCCTTAAAATTAGCTATTCTGTCCTAAAGCATTCAATCTTAAACAAAGCAAAATGAAGATTTAATGGAAATGTAAAACTACTAGTTAGTATAGTATAAAGAACCCCAATCTTGTTTCATCCGTCCCTCTGCCTTTTTTTATTTTTTAGTGGGGTATTTAAAATTCCAGGCCCAACATAAAATTTCACAGGTAAATACTTTCACATGTATCTCTAATAAGAAAGGACCCCTCCCTCATACACACATATAACCACAAGTTATTATAGCATCTAATAAAATTAACAATAATTAATATCTAATACCCAGTCCATGTTTAAATTTCTCCTGTCGTCTCAAACAATGCTTTTTAAACTTGGTTTGTTTTTCTCAGGATCCAAACAAGATCCACACATTGCATTGGGTCAATTTGGTCTCTAGTGTATAACAAGCCCCCTCCTCTTCATTTTGTTTTATACCATTTATTTGTTTGAAAAAACCCGTAATTTGCCCTGTACGTTTCCTATCATCTGTATTTGGCTGATTGCTTCCTCAGGGTGTCTTAACTTGTTCCTCTGTGCCGCACATTTCCTGTGAACTGGCAGATAGGGAGGCTGGATGAGACTGAGGATGTTAGACGGCGTTGTGTGCTTCTCCTTGCATAGCATCAGGAGACCTGTGTCTGCTTGTCCCACTTTTTTTTTTTTTTCTAAATTCTCACCCGAGAGTGGGAGAGGGAAAGATAGAGAGAAACATCGATGTGTTTCTCTCACATCGATCGGTTGCCTCCTGTACGAGCCCTGACCAGGGCCCAGACCGGGGAGGAGCCCGCAACCGAGGTACATACCCTTCATGGGAATTGAGCTCGGGACCCTTTGGGCCGCAGCCTGATGTTCTATCCACTGAGCCAAACTGGCTAGGGCTGCTTATCCCACTTGTAAAGATATTAAGATCCCAACATCATAAGATTTCCCATTTCCCATTCACCCAATGGTTGTAGTATCCATTGATGATAATTGCCTAGATCCATTACTTCTTTAGAAGTTACAAAAAGATGATTTTCTTTTTCTTTTTTCTTTTTTGTTAATCCTCATCCTAGGATATATCCCCCCCACCCACTCCCCACCCCGTTGATTTTTAGAGAGAGTGGAGGGGAGGCGAAAGACTGAGAGAGAGGAACATCATCAATTGGTTGCCTCCTGCACGAGCCCCAGAGGGGATCTAGCCTCCAACTGAGGTATGTGCCCTTTACTGCAATTGAACCTGAGACCCTTCAGTCCATGGGCCAATGCTCTAACCACTGAACCAAACCAGTTAGGGCCAACATGATGATTTTCTAATTTTTGTTATGCTTTCTACATATTTTAGCGGGAATACTAAGAATTTCCCTTTTCATCTATTTGTTTACCTATACAAAAAAAGGCAGTTTGATTTTCCCCAAGGATGAATGTTCGCCCCTTCTCTTGATAAATTTTCAGAATAATTCCTGAATTGGTGCCCTAGCAACCTCCAAGGCTGACCAATGAAGATTTTTTTTTAAAGTATCGCTGTGGCCGAAACCGGTTTGGCTTGGTGGATAGAGCGTCGGCCTGCGGACTGAAAGGTCCCAGGTTCGATTCCGGTCAAGGGCATGTACCTGGGTTGCGGGCACATCCCCATTAGGAGGTGTGCAGGAGGCAGCTGATCGATGTTTCTCTCTCATCGATGTTTCTAGCTCTCTATCTCTCTCCCTTCCTCTCTGTAAAAAACCAATAAAATATATTTTTTAAAAAACCAAGTAAATATACATTCATAAATTTACGTAGAACTTTCTAAGTCACTTTATATATCTTTAAGAGATCATCTTCACTTCTTTTTACTGCTATATTATACTCCACATTCTTTTATTTTTTTAAAATTGATTTCAGAGAGGAAGAGGGAGAGAGAGAGAAACATCAATGATGAGAGAGAATCATTGATTGGCTGCCCCCACATGCCCCACACTGGGGATTAAGTCCGCATGTGCCCTTGACCGGAATTGAACCTGGGACCCTTCAGTCCATAGGCTGACGCTCTATCCACTGAGCCAAACTGGCTAGGGCTCTACTCCACATTCTTAGTGTATTCAACCAATCCCCTACTGATGGACATTTGGGCTGCCTCAACTTTTTGCCATTGCAAACAGTGCTGTAATGAGTGGTCGTGTTTGCATGTGTCATTTTATGTTTTTGGAGGGGGTCCTTGGATTGATTCCAAGAGATGAGATTACTGACTAATTGTATATATGGTTTTGCTTGGTGTTACCAACTTCCCCTTCTTAGGGGCAGCATGCCTTCAGTCAGTCCTTTTTAAAGTCTGACCTTAGTCACTGCTGCCGCCAGGCCTGTTCGTCCTTGGCTTCCCCTGGGTCAGGGGGTCACAATCAAGCCTGCATCCTCTCTGCCGTGTCTCGGGCCTGGGCGGGCTCAAATCCCTACCCACTCATGTCCCACCTCCCCTTCCCCAGCTGGATCCTATTTGATGAGAAGAACTTTGAGGGTGACCAGCACATTCTCTCCGAGGGCGAGTTCCCCACTCTCACAGCCATGGGCTGTCTGGCCTCCGCAGCCCTGGGCTCCCTCAGGAAGGTGCCCCTGGTGAGTACCCCTGTTCAGTTCCAGGCAGTCCCTGAGGCAGGGGGTGCTGCTGGGGGTGTCCCAGGCCTCTTCTCACTGTGCAGTGGGCTGTTGGGACTTGGATCCTGTCTTCCTCAGAACTTTCCCAGGTCCCCCTAACCCCAGGGCTTCAAAGCCAGCTCAGCTTACTAGAGATTTATCGAGTACCTGCCAAGATAGGTCCTGGGAACAACGACATAACTCGAGCACAGCCCCACCTTCAGGAAACCCAGGGTCACAAGATGGCTCTGCTGTCGTGTGGGGAGCAGAGGGGTGGGTCAAGGCGGTGGGGTAAGACAGCGTACTACTGTTATAATAAAGACAGGGGTGGGTCACGACAGTAAGCCAGAATAAGTCACGATGTCCCGGGCCAGATGGAGAGAAGTGACATGGGCCCCATTAAAGAGCTCAAGTCTGTAGGACTTGGTGACCAGCCCTGGGTGGGCCCGCAGTGGCCACGCGAGCCGAGCAGCTGAGGTTTACTGAACACACACCATGCTCAAAGCCCATGCTCCCGGCTTTTAAAAAAGGCTTGCAGCCGGCCGGCATGGCTCAGTGGTTCGTCAACCTATGGACAAGGGAGTCGCGGTTCGATTCCCAATCAGGGCACATGCCCAGGTTGTGGGCTCGGTCCCCAGTGTGGGCTGTGCAGGAGGCAGCTGATCAATGATTCTCTCTCATCATTGATGTTTCTATATCTTTCTCTCCCTTCCTCTCTGAAATTATATATATATGTATATATAATTTTTTAAAAGTTCTCCATATACTATATACTAAAGCATTCAGTCCTCACCACAACCCTATACGGTTTGTTACTATGCCCATCTCCCTTTTCCAGATGTGAAAACTGAGGCACACAGAGGTCATGTGACTTGCTCCAGGTCACACAGCTGGTAACAGGCAGAGCCAGGTTCTCCCTGAGGCAGCCCAGCTCCTGAGTCCGAGTTCTTTACAACTACTATCTGGGCTCTGAAGGCAGATAGTCCTGGTTCTGAAGCCCAGCTTCGGGGGTTTAATCTCCAGCCTCAGTTTCCCCTCTGCTAAGCAGGGATGATAACAGCACCTACCTTATAGGATTATTGAGAAGTTAGAATGAGATCAGGTAAAGTGCCTAGCACAGAATCTGGGATAAGCCTCAAATATATGAGAACTACTATAATTAACAGTATTATTAGTATACTATTCTTAGAAGTGCCATTTACTGGGGAGAAGGGCTGAGGGGCATTGGGGGGCCTAGTCTGGCACATGCTATATCTGAGAGTCCAGCAGTGTGCAGGAGTCAGGAGCCCTCTGGGGTGCAGCTCAGGAGGGAAGAAGGCCTGAGTACCCATCTGGGAGTCAAGGGGCTGAGTCTGGGGCCAGGGCTGCCATGGTTTCAACCTTTCCCAATGCCCTGGACCCCCAGCACTTTTCAGAGCCCTCCATTTTTCTGTATGGACTGGAGTGCTTCGAGGGGAAGGAGATTGAGCTCAATGGAGAGGTGCGGAGTCTCCAAGCTGAGGGTTTCAACAACCACGTGCTGTCCGTGCGGATCCAGGGGGGCACGTGAGTGGGTTGTGGGGAAGCACAGAGGGTTGGGGGCTGTTAGTAAGTGAAGGATGTCTCCAGGTTTCTTCCCTGAGGGGACTCAGAGGGTGGGCTCCCTCCCAGCCAGGAGGGAGGGAGAGGTGGATTGAGGAGGGTCATTGATTCTCAGGCTGGGACCCCAGCCCAGGGGGGAAGGGGCTCTTCAGGACCCTCCTCTGCCCTGCAAACCTCAGTCTACTTCCCAGCCTCCCTCTCTCCCCTCGGGACCCTAACCCCAGGGAGAGGAGTCCCAGCAGCAGAGAAAGGGAGGTGGAGAAAGTTCTGACATTCGTGCCTTCTCCTCCCCCTTTCTGTCTGTCTGTCTGTCTGTCTCTGGCACTTGCTGGGCCCAGCTGGGTGCTGTGTGAACACAGCGACTTTCGGGGCCGCCAGTGGCTGGTGGGCAGTTGCGAGATCACGAACTGGCTGACCTACAGCGGGACTCAGAGGGTGGGCTCCCTCTACCCCATCAAGCAGGTGGGTAGCATGTCAGGTTGAGTGTGTCCATGACGGCCTGTCTGGGGGGGTGGGGGGGGGCGGTGTCTATCTGTGTATTTCCCACACTCAGCATTTGTGTGCTTTTGTCACAATTTCGCCACATCATCCTTCCTCTTGAACTATTATCTACTTAATATTTTTTTTCTAAATCAGCACCATTTTTTCCTACTCTATCCTTATCCTAAGAAATAATAGTCATAAAATCATGAGTTTGATGTGGATGGATGCTTTTTCATTAATAGGAAATATAATAAATACATTACCACTAAAATTTTTTTACTGCCATTAAATTTTAAAAAATATATATTTTATTGATTTTTTACAGAGAGGAAGAGAGAGGGAGAGGAATAGTTAGTAACATTGATTCAGCTGCCTCTTGCATGCCCCCTACTGAGGATGTGCCCACAACCCAGGTACATGCCCTTGACCGTAATTGAACCTGGGACCCTTCAGTCCGCAGGCTGACACTCTATCCGCTGAGCCAAACCAACTAGGACTAAATTTTTTTTAGAATATATTTTTATTGATTTCAGAGAGGAAGGGAGAGGGAGAGATAGAAACATCAATGATGAGAAAGAATCATTGATCGGCTGTCTCCTGTACGCCCCCAACTGGGGATTGAGCCCGCAGCCTGGGCATGTGCCCTTAACTGGAGTCGAACCCGGGACCCTTTAGTCTGCTGGCTGAAGCTCTATCCACTGAGCCAAACCAGCTAGGGCTGCCATTAAATTTTTAACCATAAGTTTATCCACGTAGGACTAAAAATGATCTCACGTAGTAAGCACACCTCACTTTGGGCAGCACTGATTCCACAGGTCTGGCCAGGTGTCTGATTTCTTACACGTGTGTTAATGCGGAGGCACGGCCCTGGGTTCTGTGTGTGTGTGCATGTGATGTCTGAGGGTGTTTCTGTGTCTGTGCAGTCATTTGTGTCCGCGTGTCTGTGTCGGTGACCTGTGATGTGTGTGTTTATGACTACACGTGCCTGTGGCATGTTGAGAGTGCGTGTGTCTTTGTGCGAGGATATTGTGTGGTCCCCACGTCCGCAGACTCTTAGAACACCAGTGCTGGAAGAAATCCGGAGACTATCTCCAACGCCCGCATTTTACAGGCGGGGAAAGAAAGGCCCAGAGAAGTGGACAAGGATTTGCTCTGCAATCTTGGGCAAGTACTGTACTTCCATGGACCTCAGTTTCCTCATCTTTAAAATGGGGGTCAGACATACGATGGAGTTGTTTGAGAACTGAAGAAAAATAATGTACGTTAAGTCCTTAGTAAAGTGCTTGAGTGGGTGAACACCCAGCAGACACTAGCTGTGATTCTTATTACTGTCACGGCCATCACCAATATCCAAGGTGTCCCCCACCGATTTGAGGCAGAGCCTGACCTGGTAACTGACAGGGCAGTGTCTGCTGCCCATGGTTCCTCTTTAGCGGGGGCGTGTGTGTGTGCACTTCTGAATACCCACATGCATCCATCCTGTTAGCAAACACCAGTGCCTGGTGCGGAGTAGGCTGGGGGACCCGTGCATCGGTTAGGATGTGTGAGTCTGCATGGCTCTGAGTATCTGTGTGTTTGTCTCTGCTGCAAACTTCTGTGCAACCACGTGGACCTTGGGTGTGTCTGCCAGCGTGTCCCTCTGCACACGTCTGTGGGTATCTGTGGACATGGGACTGTGTGGGTGCGGATGTGTGCTCCGGAGGGGGCTTTGGATTTTGTGTGGGAAACAAGGGGAGACTTAAAAGAGGGCCAAGGGTGGCTTAGGGTCAGGAATGAGGGCTTTGGCGGTTGGGATACTGGAGGGTCCAGAATTATGGGTGTTGGGAGCCCAGCGGGGAGCATCTCTGCCCCGGGAGCCCTGACTCTCAGCTCCCTCCACTCCCCAGCGCCGGGCTTATTTCCGCCTCTGGAATGTGGCACTGGAGGGGTTCCTGGCAGTGCCAGACCATGTGGAAGACATGAAGGCGGGCCGTGTGGTGGTTGCTGAGCCTGGAGCTGGAGGTAGCTGCATCTGGTACTACGAAGATGGGCTGCTGAAGAACCAGGTACTGGTTTGGTGACTGAGACAAGGACACCAGGGC